TACTCGGGGATAACGGCCGCAAGTTTCGGCTTGGGTAGCTTCGTGTTCACACAGCTACAGTCGCGCGTGGTCAATCCGTATGCGGTCGACTTCACCATTGAAGATCCTAACTATGCAGTATTGATTCGTGTGCCGTAAGGGAAACGCTATTGGTGTTTTTGCAATAGTTATGCTCAGGTTTATGCTGCGAGTAGTGGGCGGAGTCTTGATGATTGTGTTGTCGATAGCGGCTGCCATCATTCCTGATGAGGTCAGAGTTAGTCCGAGTGCTCAGAAGGTTCAGTTTGACGAAGATCAGCCGATAGAAGATGGGATCGCTTGGAGGGAAATGGTGAGTCTTGCAAAGGAGACCCTTGGTTCGATCCTCGGTAGGGTCACTTTGCCGTATTCAGATACGGACACCTCACTTCTGGCTGTTAGTCATAGCGTTTTCTGCCAACACTCAAGCAATAACTTTCGTGGCGTCCACTTTCAAGGTGAGGCGAGGAATGCTCAGTGGACTGTCATCTCATCGTTGTAGATGATGGGAACGAGCCTGTGTGGTATGACTGACGCCCAGCTGGTGAAGACTTGGTCAGTAGCAGCAGTGGTGAATGCTGTTGGGAGAGTCACAACGGGTGATCCCTCGTGTCACCACAAACGACAATTACTGTGTTGGTCAGGCATTCTTACTGTGGATCCATTGTATTCTCTCCGAGTAGTGTCTCAAGGACTAGCGGCTTCGTTATTGTTCCTATCTTGGGCAAGTACTCCCTCAACATTCTTATTCGGAATGTGCTGGAATGCCCTTGTGCTTGGAAGTAAGTCGAAAAGGCTCCTTATGATGGTATTGATTTTTTCAGGCACTTTCGTTGTCATGCCGTTAGCCACAGCTAGCTTGTTCGGTCGTGCTAACTTCCAGAAGAACTACGGAGTCGTGTTCATGAGTTTCGGACTCTCTGCATTAGTCGCAGCATGGGTGAGTCTGTGACCGTGGTCTTGATCTCGTCAGCTCGGCAGGCGCTCTCTTCAGATCACAGTACCTTATTTGACTTCGACGCTGTCGCCTGCTCTACAGTTGGCCGTCATCGCGCTGATCCCGGCTGTTACAGCGGTCATAGCATGGCTACTATCCAAGCTGCCGGTTCCCTCGAAGAGAACAGATGATTGGGTGCGCTTTTATACCGAGCATAATCGGCCACTGATCGAGTAGCTGATCAAAATTGAGAGCTCCGAACGTTTCTAATAAGCCTGTCCGATCCTCGTTCGTAAATCCATAGGACTCGCATTGGCCCGCAACTTGACCTTTTTGATGTCTGTGTCTCTCTATCCCACATGGGAGGGATATCTACTGGCTTTCGCTTTTTTGTGAGAGGTTCTATAGTCTGTCTGTGAACCGACCTGCGCCCCGCGAGAAAATTTCCCAGGCTTGGGTGTGCCAAAAATAGGAGCTCTTCTTCCGAGTTCGGACTTGTGTTCGAATGAACCGATTTTTTGAATTTGCCTTGGACAGTCGGACTGTCACAGTC